TTGTTCCTGGGTCACTGATGCCACTGGAGAGCCACGTTGCCAGAGGGAAGGCTCCATGCAGACCCCTTTAGAGGAATGCCCAGATTTTCCCTTAAATATCCTAAGCCAGTCTGAGAATCTTCAGGCAGTTTTTGGAGATGTTAACCTGCGTCTCCTTAGACCACCAGTGTTCTGACAATAAATGCTTATTCTATAGCTCAACTTGAGCCCTGGAGTGGTTGGCCTCGGTTTCAGTTTGAGGTATAAGATGTGCAAGACAGTTCCTCTGGGAAGGCAGGTCCAGGTCCAGCTCCATTTTAAAGTGGCTCCATTTATATTATTTTTCTTAACACTGATATTTTGATGTTTTTGATATTTAAAATGGCATTGTTTGCATTTAATTTATAAATTAAATGTTGAAAGAATTCACAAGTGTATTAATTCTTCCTGTTTTATGCTGGTCTCAGTCTATTAATAACCCATGCTGTGACTGGACTGGCCCTTGTGGTTCTTACTATGATTGCAAGACACCCTTCAGTAATAACCATCAGGAAATGTTGATAAGTTACAGGTTTATTACTTACAGGGCCTGGAAACTAGCAACAGGCTTGGGGCCACACACCGAGGTCCTGGGTAGAGAGAGTTCACAAGGGCCTGGGGTTCTGTTTTTATTGGGTTGAGAGTAGGGACCTAGGCTTTCACACGCTCAATCTTTATTGGAGAATTTAAAACATAAGAATGGGAATTTAAAACACAGGAAGAGAAAACAAACAAGTAGCCCAAATGGTCTGATATTGAAATCAACCAAGATCTCTAAAACAAAGGACCCTAGGGGGTGAGGGGCAGGAGTGGCCTCCTTCTTTATCTCTAGTGTAGTGGCTGTCAATGTGTTTATTCAAGATAGCCATCTTTGAAATGGATGTCTCAGCAATCAGAGCTTAAGTCAGGCACTTGCATTACAAAACAAAACAGGGCTCACACTTCCCTCCACCCTGTGATGCTAAGGCATCAAAGTCAATGGTGAGGAGACTAACTACCTGGGTAGCAGAAATGCTAGAAGTCAAGGGTAGGGCACATTGTAACCCAGGAAGTACACATCTAAATAGGATTATAGTAGCAAATCTTATAATAATTATACAGGCAATATAGTTTGAAACCCAGTCTATAGCCACTGTCCCCAACTTGAAGGCTCCATCCATGAGAAGTCAGGGACCTCAGGGGCCCTGGGAATCTGTTCAAGGATTTAGGTAATATTGTGGAGTGTTTTAACATCTTGTGTTATCTAGTGTAAGTTTGAACCTGTCCTAGTTGGTAGTGTTCCAGATCTCATTGAATTAGTCTTTTAGCCCTGAGGCTAGGTCGGTTCAGTTAAACAATTGTGTTTCATTTCGGGAGGTGGTGATGCAACTGGACTCCCAAAGTGAGGTCTGTAACTGTGTAAGCAAGTAATCAGGTAGGTATTCAATAAGGGGCATTTCTAGGAAAACAAAAGAAAAAAACACAAAGGTTAATGATTGGAGCAAATTATAAGCAGTTTCTGAGCCTGGAGAGTGGCCTGTTGAAAAAATTTCTAGATGTCAGGCGCTAAACTTCGTTTGCAGTTTGAAATGTCTCTGATGATGTCATCAGGTGTTCAGGTAAACATTTTTTACTGGCTTACACAGCATCAGACATGGAGATTGCCTACGGATGAGCTACTGCGATTTCTCTGAAGTTTATACCAAGTCGTCTAACTGCAGTTCTCAGGGCTTCAGGGAAAAGGGCAGTTTTAGTTCTCAATGATTCCAAGTCAAAGGGTGGGGGAAATTGGAAATGTTAGTTTGGAGAGTTGCAGCCAAATACTTGAGGAAACCAAAATTCAGGAAACAATCCAGTTTACAGGTGGGAGAAAACCCTTAAAGATAATTAACTGAACTAGACCATAAGTGTGTACTATAGTTTCATTCCAACCTCTGCTTCTGTCATTACATCTTTCTAGAGGAGGGAATAAGGCTGGTAAAAGAAGGGATCCCAGGCCAGTAAATGTATTCCAGATGATGACACTCTTCTTCCAGGATGTGGGCCTGGCTGTTTCCATGGAGATGGGTGCCAGGCCTCACCCCCTGCCCAATATGATGGAGATGTGGTTGCCATGATGACTCCACATCTTCAGGATGGAGACATCTGTTGCAGCCAGATGCCCTTTGAATGGAATTAGTGATATGGGATAAAAATAGAAGCTAGGGAAAGAGCTAAACTCTCAATTTTGAATCTCACCAACCGCACTTCACCACCTGCTACACTGGAAGAACCCAGCTCTTTGGCTCTCAGTCCTCCAGTTTCTGTCACTCTTTCCTGCCCTAGTTCGTAGGCACTTCAAAACGCACAGAGATGACTCTTCCAGCATGCTGGCTCCCCAGTGCCTTGACCTCTTCTCCAAAGACCTTGTCTCCCACTCTTTCTCTGTCTCTCCCTTCCTCCCTCCCGTCATCAGAGCAGACACCTTGTTGCAACCCACAACCACACTCGCTCCCTCCACAATCTCAACTTTGAGTATCCCACACCAGCACCATCATTTGTACCTTTCTAGCTCACTCCATCTGGAGTCCCAACTTCAAAACTCCTTCAACCCCACCAGAGAACCCCTCCATTTCATTAATTCGATCACTTACCATTAGCTCCACCCCCTCATGCCCACTGGGCCCTCGCACAGCTTAGAGCCTGTATCATTGCAATCTTTTTCTTGCACCTGCCCTCAACTCCCTTGATCCCTCTCACTCATCGGTCTCACGGGGAAGACTCCCACGACCTGCCTACAGTGGGCTGCACCTGGTCTGCTGAGGACCGAGAGAAAACCCCATAACCAGGTTGACTGATCTCATTTTAACTTCAGTACCGCGACCTTCAAGGGGGCATTGATGTTGTCTGGCAATTTGCTTTTAGACCCCTTGCCCATTTGCTTTTCCTGTACCCCTAAAATATTTTTAAATTGTGGTAAAAGATACATAACATAAAATTTACCATTTTAACCATTTTCTAAGCATGCATTTCAGTAGCATTAAGCATGTTTACAATCTTGGGCAACCATCACCACTATCCAGTCTGAAGCTTATTCATCCCAACAGAAACTCTGTTCTCATTAAACCCTAACTCCTCCCGTCCCCTGGTAACCTCTATCCTACTTCCTGTCTCTATGAATTTGCCTATTCTAGGTACCTTACATAACTGGAATCACATAATACTTGTCCTTTCATGTCTGGCTGATTTCATTGAGCATAATGTATTGAGCATATATGTTATACAGTTTTTATTATGTACAATTTTTGTTAATACACATATAACATAAGTGGGCATTTAATATTTGAAAGTATACATGCTGTATGGCTTTTCGTGCCATGATTGCAGTAATAAGGACAAGCTAAAAATATCCATGCAACATAGGAAAGAATAAGGGACCAGAGCAAACATGGACAGACACTCAAAAATGGGGGAAATCGGGAGTTGTCCAACAGGTATAAAATTTTAATTATGGAAGATGAATAAGTTCTATAGATCTGCTGTACAACATGGTGCCTATAGTTAACAATGCTGTATTATACACTTAAAAATTTGTTAAGTGGGTAAATCTCAGGCTAAATGTTCTTATCAGAATAAAAAAATAAAGTAAGAGGAGTATAATGTTTTCAAGGTTCATCACTGTTGTAGCATGTGTCAGAATTTCATTTCATGTTTTGTTTCATTTAGGCATTTTATTTGCACATAAAAACTTCCTTTTTAAAAAGTCCCTAGAATGAATCCCAGGACTTTCCTTCCTATGTGTTTTTGTCTTGCTTCCTTTTTTTTTCTCTAAAGATTTTTATTGGGGAATTGGGGGATGGGAACAGCGCTGGGGAACTGGGGGAAGGGGAACAGACAAGTTGCTGTCATTTTGTTCTTCAGTCTAGTTGTGGAGGATGTTGCTTCACTGGCCCAAGTTGGCACCATCATCGCGCTCTTCCCCAGGTGAGGCAGATCAGTCGCAGGCTTCTGGACAGCCACTCACTGAGGCTGCTGGCTACACACGGTAGCCCATGGCAGCCCACTGCAGCAGGGGCTGCAGCCTATGCCATCGCCGATGACTCAAGGCAGCCCAGCTCCAAGTCGAGCTGTTGTTCAGCATCTTAGCTGTAGAGGGCAGTGTCACTGGCCCTTATATGTGGGATCTGAACCGGGGCCCTCTGGCGTCCCAAGCCAGCTCTTAACCAATGCGCCACTCGGCTGGCCCTGTCTTGCTTCCTCTTGGTCCACGATGCCAGCTGCAGTTATCAGCATCATGAAACCAAACTAGTGGGACAGGCCTGTGAGGTTCCCACAATTTCTCGAGCTCTGTGATCTTCAATGATTTCAAATTCACCAATGGAATCATGCTTTATCACCATGATTAGAAACTGGAGGGCCGCCATAGTAGGCTGCAGCCCCTGCTGCAGTGGGCTGCCATAAGCTACCGTGAGCTGCCAAAAGCCACCGTGAGCGGCCATCCAGAGGCCGGTGACCAATCTGCCTCACCCGGGAAGAGTGCAATGATAATACCAACATGGGCCAGTGAAGCAACGTCCTCCACAACTGGACTGGAGAACAAAAGGACAGCAACTTGTCTGTTCCCCTCCCCTAATTCCCCAATTTAAAAAAAAATCTTAAAAAAAAAAAGAAACTGGAAAATGACTTTGGAGCATGGTCTAATAAGATGTTGGCATGTGCCTCTCTTTTTGGCATTTATGCTTTTGAGTTTTTGAGAGCATCAGTCAGGACATTCATGATGAAAGGTGGCACAGAAAGATGGCTGCTGAAAATATTCCACTGAATGGATATACCACATTTTGTTTATCCATTCATTCATTGATGGATACTTGGTTTGTTTCCTAGACTTTTAAATAGTTTCTCTCTCCTCAAACTCCTACACCTCCTCCCTTTCTGCTCACTCTCAGTGGGACCTTGCTTCCTACTTCACTTAGAAAAGAACCCATCAGAAGGAAACTTCCCCAGACTCCTATCACCCACCTACTCACTTTTCCTTCTATTACTTGGTGTACCATTTATCTGCTGCTTTGTAACAAACAACCCCCAAACTTAATGGTGTTAAATAACCCTTATAATATAATCATGAATTCTGTAGGTCAGGAATTTGAATAAGACACAAGAACAGCTTGTCTCTGCTCCCTGATGTCTGGAGCCTCCGCTGGCAAGACGCAGACTCAATGGCGATGGCTGGGAGCTAGAATCAGTGGGCGGAGTCTTCAGTCATGTCTGGCAGCTGGTGCTGGCAGTTGCTGGGACCTCAGCTGCGCTGATGGCTAAGAGCGCCTTCATGAGCCTTCTCCACATAGTCTCTCTGTGGGCTAGTTGAGCTTCCTCACAGTATGGCTGCTGGGTCCCAAAAGTGAGTGACCTAAGAGCAAGTGGGAAGGGCCTGACTTTATTGGTTCAGACAGTCACAAAGTTCTGTCCCGGTGCAATGGGAGGGAACTTAACCTCACACAAAATACACTCAGTGGAAGGAACCGTAAGAGTTTGTGGGATGGGAAAGATGGTTGTGGCCATCTTTGGGAAATGCACCCTCCTTACTAATGACCTACTATGTTCTTGAGCCCGGGGCACTTCCTCTTTTGCTTAAAGGACAACATTCCAGCCACTCTCCCCTCCCTCTCCTCTGCTTCTCTTCTAGAATCTAGGAATCTAGGCCATTCCCATCAGCACCCAAACCTGCTGTTTGGTCTTCTCTGACCTTTTTATCAAAAAACTGACTCACCAGCCCCAATCTCCCACCCCACACTTTATTTTTTCTCCACAGAACTTTCCACTTGATATACTCCATATTCTTCTCATCTCTCTGTTTATCATCGAGCTCTTTCATGAGAATATCGGCTCCATGCACTCTGGGACTTTAGCCTCTATTTGCACAATAAATATTTTTTGAACAAACATTTCAAGTTAAACTGGTAATTATACTTGCCTCCACGAAAGGGAACTGGGTAAACAGCAGATATACCTTGTTTAAAAATTTAAGCTGCCTTTTAAAATTGTGAAATAGGGATACTTACTTTGTCCCATGAGCCTTTGGGATCTTCTGCCTTTTGCACCCTGACCATACATTACCAATTTAAATTAATAAATGACATTCTTGTAAAAAAGTTAGCCCAGAACCTGGCATGAAATAAATCAGCAATTGAAAGTTGTATTATGATGATGATGGGGAAATGTGTGAGCACCCTTGCCGGGTCCATGCCTCTCTCCTCCATTCTCCACCCCTGAGCACTCAGGCTGGGACCTGGAGTCTCCCTGTTTGATTTGACTACTTCCAAGCCTTCACCTCAAGCCTGCAGCCCATCAGAGGCGGCTGGAGCTGGGGGTCCTCCCCAGGTGAGCCTTTAAGGGTGAGATGAAAGAGCTTGGGCCAAAGCCAGTGTGAGTGGCCAGGTAGGGAGCTCATGAATGCTTGGGCTGGGCCAGAAGAGGCATAGGCTGAGAAGATAGGGAAGCAGAGAAAAAGAGCCTTCCTGAGGTGGCCAGGGGATTTTGCCAAGTACCTGTTGCATACCCAGATATGTGCTAGACAGTGCTGGGGACACAGTGGTGGCAGACCCTACCCTCTCACAAGACAGTGGGGAACACAGGCCAGTGACCAGGGAGTGACAACTTAGAGTGAACAGGGTAGGGATGAAGCCCCTGATTCAGTCAAGGCGGGCTTCCTGGAGGAGGGGAAACAAATCTCCTTACAGAGTCTATGACACCCATGGAGACTGACCTTTTCGGCTACATTGATGCCATTTTCCTTCACTCCCTCCTCCCTCGAATCAGCTGCACTGGCCTTTTTTCTCATTCCTGAACTCTAAGCTCATTCCCAGCTCCCAACCTCTGAGCCATTGAACTTGCTCTTCCCTCTGCCTCGTTCTCTCTTCTCAGATCCTCACCAGGCAGGCTCCTCCTTGTCAGTCAGATTGCAGATCAATTATTCTGGCAGCATTTAACTGTTTTTGTGTTGTTGTTTTTTTAGCTGAGCCATGCTGCCACCTGTTGGCAGCCTAGCAG